CACAGGAGGACATTGACCACCTGATCAGAAGCATGCGTTGGAGAACGCGTAGCACATCAGGGTGCATCCAAACATTATTAAAGGTCAAAGGGATTTAAAGCATCATTTTGAAATTTTTATCATTTACTTATTATGCTTCATTAAGTACTTATACAAAATTTTATTAAAATAAAACCATTTAAACTGGGTGTTCGGATTTATATGTCACTTAGTATATTTTTGTCCCTCATAAAAAAGTGCTTATATTCAGACTTGTATTGTGTTCATTGCAGATAATGTAAAAACAAGGAATTTAGTTTTTCTACTAATAACGCATTTGTTTATGGACCAATGAAGTATGAATTCGTTTTCTAAAGGTATTTAGGTAAATATGTATTCATATTTGCCTATATACTTTTGTCCATTACTGTAGCTATCGATAATAAAAATGGATTTTTAGCACCTTAAAGTGCCAAAAGTCGCACAGTTTTACAATTTCTCACTAAATAGTTGGATTTGCATGATAGACGGAATCATATATTCAGAATGACTTCGGATTCAGTTTTAGCGACTCAAAATACGTTCGATTCAGGTCAGTTGAATCGTATTTTAATTTTCAGTGACCATATATTACAAAAATGTACGGGCAACCCCGGGTAACCAGTTTTTTACCAATTTTTCATCACTAAGTCAACACCATGACCCATTAAAGCTTTTTTCATTTGGGGCCCCAAATTAGCTGAATCTACAAAGCATCAATCGCAAATAGACACCGATAAAGAAAATTGATTTTTAGTACCCTAAAGTTGCAAATGTGGCACAGTTTAACAATTTTTGACTAAATAATAGAATGTACACTACTTACATGATAGACGGGATCAGATACATGTTAAATGACCGATTCAGTCTTAGCGACCCAAATACGTACGATAGAGGTCACTTGAACCGCATTTAAAGCATTTTAGTGTCTAGTAACTCGATTATGTTACAAAGATGACGTCAAGTAAGTTGACTCTGCACTTACCACGCAACCCCGTCATCAGTTCATAAACTATTATGTTCAGCACAAGTAAGAACCTCTAAGAAAAATGTTAGTTACAAACTGGTATAAAAGAGGAATTAAAAGGATCAAGTCAGTCAAACAGGCTCATACAATTAGCCCATAGACATGCTTCACCGATGGGTAATGTACATGTTGGATTATTCGTGCAAGAATGTCTGCAATTGATTGATTTTCTTGCAAAACCTAGCAGTTGCAAGGAAATGACAAAAATAATCATCTGTTTTGTTAATGCACATGCGCCTGATCAAGATATCTCTTGCATCTTGCTGACTGTAAAACGGGTATATAGCATCCAAAAAACATAAAACCTTATTTTCGGAATTTATCGCGACTACAATACTTCCTCGCCAGAAGGCATGGGAAGTAAAAGCACCTGTTGAAAACATCAAAGCTTATTGTATCATTTAGCAGCTACATTTTAGTTGAGATGATAAGCAAAATTATGTCACAATTATGCAAAAAAAAACCTCACATTTGGACTGAAATCAAACCATGGATGGAGTTATTGGAATAAACAAATATTGTGGGATCCAGCCTTGATCAATTTTAATCATTTAAGCAATCCAGGAACTTGCTGATAAATCCGCAGAATCATTACCCAAAATTTCTTATATCTCTTCTTTAACTTCTTAATGTTTATAGACAGCCAGATAAATGTAATGGAGGGATAAACATTTTCATAATCTGTGTTATTTCTCATCCTTTCTCAAGTTTACCTAGGTCATATTCAAAAGAACCTTTTGAAATTCGAAGTTCAAAGTTTTTTAGAGTGTGTATTTAAAAACGTATTTGAATGCGCATGGAAAGAAACCACTTGACAGGATTTTTTACTTCCTCGGCAATCTATAAAAGTGAAATTCCCTTGTATAATAAACGTGAAAATAACGAGTTCTAATGATACGACACACTAAACAAACTGTCTACAGACGGCAATTGTACAATAAATAATTGCATTTGTTTATAACCAAATCTAAAAAGTAGAAATACGCAGAGTTCGTGATGCTCTGTTTAACACACCCAGAAGACTCGATTGTTAATTTTATATGGAATTAAGTAAAAGTGATTTCTCTTTTAAAACTAAACCATTATTTATCGGAAATACATAATAAATTGTGCGTGTGTTCGATTATTATCAAACAACTGATTAAAAATGCATGATGTTTATTGCTTCTACCATAACCAGACTTATCGCTAGAACATAGTAGGATAAAGTTAGCTTTCTGGGAAAATGAAACATACCAGGGTCAATTCTATCTCTAGTAATGCGAAAATATGTAAATATGTTTGTATGATCCATTTTCACACTAAAACGGCTGAACCGCTTTCGATGAATTTTGGCATGGATGTAGATTTGACCTTAATGATCGACAAAGACATTTTATTAAGAAAATAGAACTTGGGGGGTTGAAATAGGGGGTAAAAGTGACTATTATCCTTTAGGGATACAAACATGGGTTTTTTACATCTTGTCCTTTAATATGAGCTAAAAGAGCAGGTAGAAAGAAAATTTCGAAAATCTATCCCTAAAGGGAACCTAGAATATTTTAAATTATCCCAGTCTAGAAGAGTTGCATTTAAAATAAAAAAAACCTTAACAAAGAATTAGAGGAATTAGATGGGGGAAATTTATTACTTTTAAGGTTCAGTTTATAGAAACTTATCTTGAAAACTATTTAACTTATGTACACGAAATTTAACAGGGAAGTGCTTTGCATGGCCGTATTAACGGGTACTTACTAGCTTTTCTTTACAATTTGATACATATACTAAGTGACATATAAATCCGAACACCCAGTTTAAATGGTTTTATTTTAATAAAAGTTGGTGAATGTATTTATCTTACTGTAAATAAGAAGTGAAAAAAATTTTCAGCCTTATCAGTTGGACATTCCGGTTTTTATACTGCTTTTTTTTTAATTCACTAACGCTCTAAAAATGAATATTTTAGCCGCAGTAAAGAATCAACGTTGGCGGATTTTGGTTCTTGACATCCTTTGCGATCGGTTACGATGCCTAGAGTACGGAGACCTGTACGATTTCGTCAACTTAGTGAGTTTGATAGGGGCCGTATAGTGGGACTTCGGGAAGCTGGACTTTCTTTTCGGGCAATTGCAGTTAGAGTGCAAAGAAGTGTAGACACTGTGGTTAGGTGTTGTCAGGCATGGCTTCGAGAGGGCCGTACGCAAAGAGCAAGGGGCACTGGACGCCGCCGTAGAACAACAGACCGTGAAGATCGCCGCCTAAGATTATTGGCCTTAAGGGACCGTTTCTCCACTACCAGGTCCATTGCAAATGAATGGTTTGCAGAACACGGAAGACCTATTGGCATGCGAAGTGTTTACCGACGAATGAGAAGTTTTGGCTTGTTTTCATACCGGCCACACTGGGTCCTCCCTTTAACTCGAGAACACCGACGTAATCGCCTTGAGTGGTGCAGACAACGGTCACTCTGGGATCAGGAATGGAACAGTATTGTCTTTAGTGACGAGTCTCGATTTTGTTTAGGCATGCACGATGGTCGTGCCAGGGTTAGAAGGCGACGTGGTGAAAGGAGGAATCCACAGTTTTTTGTTGAAAGGCATGTTCATCACACTGTTGGAGTTATGGTTTGGGGTGCTATAGCTTATGGTTCCAGGTCACCTTTAATCTTCAACAGAGGTAACATGAACGCGCAGCGTTATATCCACGAAGTTCTAGAACCCCATCTTTTACCCTATCTTGACACCCTGGCAGATCCAACTTTCCAACAAGATAATGCCCGACCACATGTTGCAAGAGTCACAATAGACTTCTTTCAACATAATGATGTCACATTGTTACCATGGCCACCAAGATGTCCAGACTTATCCCCAATTGAGCACGTGTGGGATATGATGGGTAGGAGATTGCTCAATTTGCAACGTCCTCCTCAGACTCTAGAAGCACTTCGAGAGGAGTTGGTGGTTGCCTGGAATGAGATACCACAGGAGGACATTGACCACCTGATCAGAAGCATGCCTAGGCGCGTTGGAGAATGCGTAGCACATCAGGGTGCATCCACACATTATTAAAGGTCAAAGGGCTTTAAAGCAGTGCAATCATTTTGAAATTTTTATCATTTACTTATTATGCTTCATTAAGTACTTATACAAAATTTTATTAAAATAAAACCATTTAAACTGGGTGTTCGGATTTATATGTCACTTAGTATATTTATCTTCTCTAACTAGAGACTAGGCAGGTAGTTTCTACAATGCAAAAATTTAGAATTATTCATATGGAGCACCGAAAACATATCCACCAACGCGCTTATTAACACCGATGTTTTGGAATTGCAGAAATCAGGATTAAAAGACATCGTTTTATTTTATCCCAACACAGCCGCGTAGAGAGAAGCCTAAATATCAGGACACCGCGCCTGCTATGGGAGACATAATAAACTTTGTTATTCCAATTTTTGAACTGACTAGGGTTCTCCTCAGGCAGATTGTTCCACAATCTCGACAACCTATGGACAAAGGAGCGATCGTACCAGCCAGTTCTGGATGTATGAAGTTGGACACGGTTAGGGTGGGAAGCCGGAGTCAGGCGGGTCTAGAGGAGAGCTCTGAGGAACAAATCCCGCTGACATAGCGGTAGAAAAGATCTAGATTGCTGACGGGCATTGTACAGCGTTCGGAGGTTATGTGGAGAAAAGTACTCATTAGCCCTAAACATATAGTAGCTTTTTCTCGGCAGCTATTGAAAAGACTACGCCTTTGCCTTCGAGCGTCACGTATCCCTCAAAGGAAAATTCTAGGGCGGTTTTCTTTGTATACCGCCTGATTTAATATTTGTTTTCATTTTGACTATAATTATTGAATGACTGAATAACGTAACATTTCAGGCAGGAGAGTATTCACTGAAGTTGTCGGAATTTATAGTGTGTTGTTCGTTATGGTGTCATGCTAAATGGTCTCCATAGGCACAAAATTCTTTAATGGAGAGTTTCAGAGATATTGAGGACCAAAGGTGAGGAATACAAAAGTACCCTCATTAATATATTTTCCTCAGAATCCTCTCTATGTTCTAGCATAGATCACTTTTCTCAACTAGCCAAACCACTCAAATTGTATATCGTGTATCAAAGATAATTAAATGATAATGATTGTGGATGCTTTTCGTAACTCTAATAACACTGGACAACAAATTTTAGTTTTTTAATTGTATCTTGTGGGAAAAGTGCACTTCTTTGTTAATTTTGGGGCGCTGAATCCAAAAATGACAATGAAATAAAAAAATTAGTTGCGGTTTAGAAAAAAAACTTTTTATTTTTAAGGATATATTAAAAAAAGTAACAAGATTCATATACTTATAAGAATCACTATATGCGCTGTCTTTTTGCTGTTCTTTTATGGATCGTTCCTGGAGCATCTCTACCAAGAGTCCCACAGTAGTCTGCAAGCATGGAAGGATTCCACTTTCCCTGGTACCTTTTTTCCATTGTTGAAATATCCTGATGAAAACGTTCGCCGTGCTCATCACTTACGGCTCCGCAATTGTCAGGAAAAAAGTCCAGGTGTGAGTGTAGGAAATGTATCTTAAGAGACATATTACAGCCCATCTTTTGATACGATGACAGCATATTTTTGACAAGGGTTTTATAGTTGTCAGCTTTTCTATTTCCCAAGAAATTAGTGACCACCACACGGAAATCATTCCAAGCAGTTTTTTTCAATACCTGTTAAAGTGTTTTCAAACTGTGTATCTTTCAAAATATTTAGAATCTGTGGCCCAACAAAAATACTTTCTTTAACCTTTGCCTCAGTTAGTCTTGGAAATTTCTGACGCAGGTATTGAAAAGCTGACCCATCTCTATCTAATGCCTTGACAAAGTTTTTCATTAGGCCCAACTTGATATGCAGTGGTGGTAATAAAATTTTTTTCGAATCTACTAATGGCATATGCTGTACATTTTTTTGACCTGGCTCTAGGAATTGACGAACAGGTCAGTTTTGTCTGGTGTAATGAAGTGCCTTTGCCCGACTGTCCCATTCACACAAAAAACAGCAAAACTTTGTGTAGCCTAGCTGCAGCCCAAGTAAAAGTGCAACAACTTTCAAATCGCCACAAATATGCCATTGGTGCTCATCGTATTTTATGCATGTCAATAGGTACTTCATATTGTCATATGATTCTTTCATGTGAACTGCATACCCTACAGGAAGAGATGGTAAAATATTTCCAATATGCAATAACACTGCCTTTAAACTCAATGTTGAACTGTCTATAAACAATCTCCATTCTTCTGGGTTATAGTTTATTTTTAAAGCCGCCAGTAAGCCGTTAACGTTACTGCAGAAAACCAAGTTATTCTCCATATTGAAAAATGGTTCTAAGTCTTTGTGGCGTTTACGAAAAACACATACCGAAACATCGTCTTCTAACAAGTTCCACTGCTGCAGTCTTGATCCGAGTAACTCTGCCTTACATTTTGGAAGTTCTAAATCTCTTACAAGATCATTTAATTCTGACTGTGTTATTTTGTGCGGTTGGTGGCATGACGTGCTCGGTATAAAATCAGGATCTCTTGACGTTGATGGCATACCTTCTTCCTGACGAATCACTCGATCGCCATGATCTGATTCGTTTTCTGATTCGCAAGTGTAGGATTCTGGGGGTTTTGGAATAGGATTTTCGTCACTGCGAGGCACAGGTCTCATCGCAGATGGTATGTTTGGGTAATAATAACCGATTTTTTTTTCTTGGACATACCTGTGGCTTGTCCAACACAAGGTACCATACAAAAGTAACAATCATTAATATGATTTGTAGGCTCTCTCCAAACCATTGGGACAGCAAAGCGCATAGACCGTTTTTTGTCATTTAACCAGCTCCTCAGACTTGAAGCACATGTATTACAGCAGATGTGGGGTGCCCACTGTTTGTCTTGATCACCTAGTTTACAACCGAAATAAAGTTGATATGCCTTTGTTATTAGTGGAGTAATAGACCGTTTCTGAGACGCAAAAGTCACATCACCACACACGTAACAAAACTGATCTGGATTGTTTACACACTTTCGAGACATCTTGCATGAACGCTGTCAGCCAACTGAGGAGAAAATGGCTAATATAAAACAATATAATGTACACGTATGTATAACGTAACACAATCATGCCGATTACATCATCTTTCCTTGCCGAATATAAAAATGTAGCACGTGCATTCTTGTGAATTACAGTATATTAACACTGTCACAGCAGGAACACATATAATTACCGTATCTCTAAAACTTGAACTAATATTGAAAAAATAAGTTTTATTCCGGTTTTAGTACATTAAAAGTAGTAATATTTTGTTGATTTTATTTAGGATATTTTTTGGCTGTTGATCAGTGTAACCTTGGACAGTACAAAAATCGAATCAACAAGGTGCCTTCTAGCTCCTCTTAGCAGTCGTGGTGCCTCGGTATTTAGGCTTCTGCCTACGCGGCTGTAAATAAATACAAACATTGGGATTTAATTATGCATGAGACACCCAAAATCACGCGTTCCGTTGCCTGACAAAAATCGCGTGCACAAAATAAGACCTAATTGCTTGACAAATATGATATGAGCGGCTTGATAGGTTGAGAAAAGTCATTTCTGCTAAGACATATACCGACGATTTTGAGGAAAATACAGTCATTGATTTGTCTAAGGCTATCCATTAGAAAACTTTGTGCTCCTTTAGATCTTTTATATATATTATATTATAAATGCGGCCAATTCCACTGTAGACCCCTCTGCCATCCGTTTTGTGTGATCATCTTTAAAAAATAGAAACTGCATAGACAAATAACTCAAGACTATACACTGCAGCTTCACATAACTGAGTTTTACGAAAAGTGGATAAAATAGTTTTCTACTACTTTATGCCTCGCGAGTAATTTCGAATTTTAGAACAATATAACCAGATTGATCTAAAAGACTTTGATAGATCTGCTGATAAGACGAGAAACAAAGGAAGAAACTGAAGAATTTTTCAAATTTGTGGGATATGATTAAGCTGGTGTGATGCACAAAGTTCAAGCACTATGTTGAATTTCGCATTTCATATTTGATTTCTAACACTAAGGAAAGCAGAGTATGTGAAGAATAAATATTTTGTTTCTAGTAAAAACATTAAAATATTTTTTTTACTTATGTACCTGAAATTTTCATATTCTCTTTTTCTGATATTCATATTCGCAAAATATTCGCATGAATTGCGCGAATGCCTCACTACGAGATGCTTTAACGATGCTGTGTTGCAACAAGATATAGAATTCCCACATAATGGGCAATTTTGTCATATTTTCATTCAAATAGCTAGTCCAATTTATATCCACTAGAAAGACATTTTAAAACTAATTGAGCCACAAGTAAGATTCGAAGATAATAATCATTTATGGGATTTTAAGAATTGTGAGAAATTGAATGTTTTTCAATAATTTCAAAATAATAACAATAACCCCAGGAGGGCAGTCTGATCCTAAATGAGTTTCGAAGTGGAAATCGATTTTGATGGTGCCTTGTGATGATACACTGCCATCATAATTTGAATATAGATGATCGATATAAACAGATGTCAAAATTATCAAAGCGAATCAAGTATATCATCACAAGGTGCCATCGATATCAATTTCAGCAGTCAAAACTCATTTAGAATCAGGCCCCAGGTGATCAAACAGGCTATTTATTCTATGATGTCTTCAACTATAAAGGTCGATTGAGATATATATCATGCCAAAGAACATTTAAGAATACAAATATCTGATCTATGGTTTTTAAGAACAGTTCAATTAGGCTGGCATTGTACTTTCCCTGAACTATATAAGATATAAATGAGATTTTGTTTCAAATTCAGGAACAGGAATCAATTGTAGATATAATACAAAAAATCCATAGCCCATTAATAAATGAAATTTTGGGATTCTAAAAAAAACTAAAAAACTAAAAGATACAAAAACAAATATTAAAGTTAATATTACCTTTCCATTTTGTCCAATGTTGTTGGCTGATGGACAATGGTTTGTTGTTTGTCCATTTCCACCACACATTGTGCCCCTAATTCTAATTCTGCAACAGAAAAACGTTATAAAGATTCATTGCCATTAGGTAAAATATTAGCATTTTGACTCAAAACTCTGAGAAAATAATCTCTCAACACATGCCATTTTTCTCAATATGGCTTGGCTTATTCAGAATAAGATGTTGGAATATCTTAGTGGAAAAACAAGGGATTAAAATTTTTCAATGATAAATTGTAAACAAAGGTCATGTTTTGTGTATCAGTGTTTTATTATAAATTTGAAGTAGAAAATGTTGGGACCTAGTGCTCAAACATAGTAAACTTGTTATATATAATATTTAAAAATTGACAAAATTCACTCAAGTGCAAAGGTTTCATAGATGCAATAAACTTAAAATTCGAGTCATTTTCAATGCCAAAAATCCACTTATGGACCCTAGTCCTTTAAGACAATAGCCTGATTTTTAATATTACCATGCATTCAATTCTTCCAAATTAGTCATGGATTAGTGCATAAATAGAATCTGACAGTTAAACAATTTTTACATCAATGATAAGGTTTTATCAACAAACATTTATTTGCAGAGTAAATTATCTATAACTCTACCAATAAAGGAAAGGCAATGTATATCTGTGATATATGTTTATAAATGTATCCCTATTAAACTTCATCAATCACCTATATGACAATCAAGTAGGAAAGATTACCTATGTACTTCTATGGTACAAATGCTCAGTATAAGCACCTAAGCCTTGTATAGAATTGGTAGTTTGCCTTATACAATGTTTCTTTTAATAAATTCAATGCATATACAAAGAATAAATAAAAGGAGCTTGTAAGCTTGACCATTATGTTGATAATTACAAGATAAAAGCTGTTTATGTGTGGAATTGTCAATGAAGTGTTGTATATAATAACAAGGACTAAGGTTATGAATGATTTATAACAAAAACATGGTTGTTTTAACATGACGAATAGAATTTATAGCTGGTTATATATATATATATATATATATATATATGGTTCATATAGTATGAAAGGTGTGAAATTCACCTTTTTACTAGGAATTTTGACATCATACCTGAATGTCGCAAGAAAATGATTCACATTGAGGGAAGGAGGCACGAATTTTCACAATGTTTATGACTCAAAATACAGAAAACAAAGAACGAAATGGTAATACCTTATAGCACTTATGTAGAATATCCAAATAATCCAAATAAATATACAAACCTCTTCTGTTGAAAGGACGAAGTCGAACAGCAACTTTTATTTTATCCGTAGACATGTTCACGTTTTCGTCAATTTGGAAACAAAAAGGCGTATTTACACTATTATCACACTTTCTTTGTATTTGTAATTGCTTTACTATCCATTTTCAAACATAGTAAGTCACAAGGTAGCACTTATCACAACACGCAAATTTACTACTTTGACTTTCGCCATATTCCAGAACGAAATATTGGACATTGCGCTGAACCTCTCATTTTCACAGGACTGGGCAAATTTTGCCCATATATTTTTACTACTCACTTCTTCCCATTATAGACAGAATTAACAGCGACACCATACAGACGAATTGTAAACTGAATATCAAGTAAAAAATTAAGAGATAAAAACAGAAAATTATTTCCAACTTGCCAATCATATATGAAAAACTACTCAATAATAGGTGGCTCAAGCTGCACTTGATGCTGGCACCATCGCACGAACAATAGATGAACTACTATGTGCATCAGGTAAAGAACTGTCAAGTAACAAGTAATGAGTTGAAGAATTCTTTAGGAAACAAAGGTAGCATCAGACATAGGGAGATAGGGACCTAGATTGGCCGGGTGGGTCAGAGTCAATAGATGTTGTGGCGTCATGTGTTAGACTAATGCGGTCCCACACGATGCTTTCCAACGTTGTGTACAGCGTTCGACAGCCTACAATTGTCAAGTGTACCATCCTACACGATGGTGTGAACCTTTTTTAGTCTCGGACGTTGGACGCATGGTTTCGCTAACGTCTATTATCGGTGTCAGTGTCGCGCTTGAACCTTTACAACTGAAGGAAATATTATACAGAACGAATGATTAAGCAATTTTTTCTAGCGCCGAAAAATCATTTCAGATCTGCCTCATACCACTACTTCACCACAATTACAGCAAACAAGTAAATAATGTTTTTCGCCGCTACTGATTCTAACCTAAAACCGTCAAACTCGTGACATCTCGTGTGGGAGCGTAACGAACCATGCTTCCAACGTTGTAACGTCCTTTGGCGCGGGTCAAATTTACCGACAAGAGCCCGAACGTCCCATGACTGCCATGTGGCGAACGTTGGACGTTGGACACATGCAATCCGTCAGCGCTCTCCCACACGATGTGACGATTGACGAATGGCCATGTATCCAACGTTGTAAGTCATACGCCACATCGTGTGGAACCGGCTTGATACATATGTATAGAAACCTAGTGACTGGTTGCATGAACTCCAAAAAAACAGCATCCGTAGGCTTCTGCCTAAGCGGCTGCTTCGATATAAAGAAAATAGATGGCGCTCACTACATTTGGAATAAAAACACCGCGCAATCCATATATCTGTGGCTTGGTCGAACAAGGGCCTATGTACAAATTCGCAGAAATTTAGCTAGAGGGCCTATCTTACTGATCGAATGACTCTCTTTCCAATGAAAATGGTCCCAAGAGAATAATCCTAGTAGATTTCGATAAAATCCATGTGACAAGGGCGCAAGTGTGTGGGCCTAACTACAAGATATAAAATGTAAAGTCCAATCTACCGTTTGCGCCTTTTTGAATGGTCCCATGTAACAAATATATTATTAATTTATAAGCATAAAACGGCCTAAGTGACTAATAGGCCCAGAAAATAGAGACCTATGAGACCTTGGGTCTTTAAAATATCCCCTTTCATTTAAATGCTTAGGGCCTAACTGCCACTTATTCAAAGTGCATTGAAATTTCTGGGCCTATGTCAATTTGGGACGTTTCATTATTCAAAAACACACATTTGAAAAGGGCCTCTGTGCAACAGAAAGACATAATAGCTTTCCGCTTTTGGTCGGATTTGCCACATAGGCCTTTTTGAGTTTAAACGTATTTATTGTGTGTATCTGATGTGTAACATAGGCCTCGGCGCAATTGCCGGTAAAAACATAACCTCAAAATTTTATCTAACGAACAGGTGTGTGTGGCACGTTTTTTGTGACTGTTTTGTAGTTTGAGTACTTGAAAGAATGTTTAAGATGTCGTAGAGTATATTATTATTGTAGAACATGCAAACATAAACCAAAAGTTAAAATGTCTTTGTACAATGAGAAACATCAGTCACGAAGCCAGAGGATGGTAGATATAGCTAAGAAAAATAAAACTGAAAATTCTAACATAAATGACGATGTAGCTACCACAACCGATGACAATAAGAAGATTATCATTTTGAAAAATGATGTTATTCAAGTAAGTTTTTTTCTTCGGAGCTGGTATACATAGCGTGTAAAATAGTACCTATTATTTTGGAGCTAAAATTGTAAAATATAGTGATTCTAGAAACCTCATTGTGGCTTGGTTAGCGAGCAAGTTGTTAACAATCAAGAAATCAAGATCAAGACGAATACCAGTCTATTGATCAACAACCAATGGAACTTGTAAGAGACTTTGTTAGCGAGGAAGTTGTTAGCAATCAAGATCAAGACCAATACCAGTCTATTGATCAACAAACAATGAAAATTGTAAGTATCTTGATGAGGAAAGTGGAATTAGCTATGTTGTGTATATTAAGATCATCCATCATTAACCTTACAAAAGAGTAGCATTATAAGTTTGAAATTGAAAATACTATATATTCCAGGAACCACATTGTTCCTCTGTGAACCAGCAAGTTGTTACCGATCAAGATCAAGGAAAACTTCAATATATTGATCAACAAAATATGGAAATTGTAAGTTAATTGATTTGAAGGAAAATTTAAACTATAGATTTATATTTTGCAGGACGTAGGGGACAACAAAAGCGACATAACCGATCCTTTTGCTACTGATTCAGATAATTCTTACAGAACAGAAAGTGACAATGAAACCAGCGAGTCAGAGAGAGAAACACAAAAAAGGAAAAAAAAGTCAAGAAAAAGAGTCAGAAATGAGTTAGGGTGGCAAGTATCTAAAAGGAAGGTTGCAAGAGCAAATGGCCAAGAATATAAAACAAAAAAGAATAAAATTGTCCAGGCAAAAATCTTGAAAGGACCATGTAGATGCAAGAAAAAGTGCTATGAAAAATTTAGCCATGAGTTAAGGATAAGTATTTTTAAAGACTTTTATTCTTTGACATATAATGAACAAACTCAGATTTTGTCAAGTTCAGTTAGGGAATTTAAAAAGCGTCGATGCACTAAACTTGAAGAAGACAGCAGAAGATCATTTAGTCATACCTATCTACTGAACAAAGGAGGATTACCTATAGAAGTTTGTAAGGTGATGTTTATGAATACTCTGGATGTAAGTTTTAAAAGAGTAAGATATACGATTGAGAAGTGTAGGCTTTCTATAAGCGGAATATGTGGACCAGACCAAAGAGGGAAGCATGGCAACCACCATAAAATATCAGATGAAGATAAAAGTTTTGTAATCCAACATATCTCTAAATTTCCAGCTTACAAGAGTCATTATTCTCGATCGCATTCAGAGAAACGATACTTATCTCCCGATTTAAGCATTCAACAAATGTATAGGCTTTATATCGAATATTGTAAAGAAGCGGAAAAAACTCCGGTGTCTGACCACTATTACCGAAGTATTTTTGTGTCCAATTTCAACCTTTCGTTTCATCCACCCCATAACGATACCTGTAGCAAGTGCGATAAGTTAAACATCTTAATAAAATCTTCCGCTGATGAAGGACAAAAATAGACTACGAACGAGAAAAAAAAGAACATTTAGATGCAGCAGAGAAGGCGTACAATGCAAAAAGGATTGACAAAGAAAAAAGTAAACAAGATGAAACTATAGTAACGGCAATGTTCGACTTACAAAAATGTTTACCGACTCCCCACCTAAAAAGTGGAATTGCCTTTTATAAAAGGCAGTTGTGGGTTTTCAACCTAACAATATACGAGGTTACAAAATCCAACGGAAATAGATCTTTTTGTTTCATGTGGGACGAAACCACTTCAAACCGTGGAGGACAGGAAATTGCATCCTGTCTCCTTAAGTACATAAGAAACTTGCCCCCAGAGGCAACCTGTCTAAATTTATATAGTGATTGCTGCTCAGGGCAAAATAAAAACATTCATGTTGTTACTCTACTGTCCAAGGTGTTTCAACTTTTGCCACCAAACCACATGCTAAAAGAAGTCCACCACAAATTCCTAATCTCCGGTCATACTCACTTGGAAGCAGACTCGATTCATGCTTCAATAGAAAAAGCTAAAAAGCACACAACAATGGATATAGAAATACCCAGAGACTGGTCCACTCTGGTTCGCAGCATTCAGCGAAAAGGAGGAATTAAAGTCATTGACATGTCTCAGGATGATTTTTACAATATAAGCGCTCTTCAGAAAGCGTATTTTGTGAATAGAAAGAAAAACGCGGACGGAGAGCAAATGTCTTTTTTGAAAGCAAACTATTTCCTCTACACGAAGGAAAACCCTGGAAAAATTTTCTACAAGGAAGGCTTATTGGCAAAAGAAGATTTCAAAGTCTGGGATATAACAAAGAAGAAAAAAGGACAGCCAGATGAGACACAACTCGTTTTGGAAAGGCTACATAATTCGTACCCGTTGCCTCTTCCAAAAAAAAATTGGACGACATTAATACGTTAATACAATATATACACCCAAATTGTCGGCTTTTTTATGCTAATCTCAAATCAGAAGAAACAGCTGCCGATGAAGATGTATGTCCGACAGCTATTTTACAATATGATGAATAAGCCTTTTTTCATTTTTTGCCATTGTAAAAAAAAGTAAAGTTTTAGTTTATGTTAATATCTAGAAAACAGTTCTTGAGATTATTTCTATACTTTTATAAAATATATGACATTGCCAACTGTGTTTTATTGTTATTGACGCTAAAATAAATCATAATGGGGAAAACGTTTCATAGTCAAAAAAGGCCTAAGTTATACTCTTTCCTACAATGGGGCTTATATACCATTTTCTTGGGCCTACGTGCATATTAGATATAGGGTCTATGTGAGTTAGGCCGAAATTGTAGGGGCCTAACAAACAAAAATATGTGAATAAATGAATACTTCTACGAATTTTCAATATATTTTGGATCATAGCACATCCAGTTACATGCTACCCAAATTTCATTCAATTCGGATAAAGGATTTTTGCGTAAGAAATAATTTTGTTCCAATTCACAAATCCTAAATTATCTCCAAACTTGATTTTCGTAGATTGGCCCTTGTTTATCCAAGCCACAGATATTTACTCAGATGCTCAAAACGGAGATTGAGAAATGTATGGCTATATGAGAATTTTTATTCATAAAATGGTTTTAACCTGTTATATTTAATTAGTTAGTGGCGCTATCTCTCGACCTATTGTATATATTGTTTCCTGAGCCAGAGTTATAACACCTGTAGACTACCTCATTCGATAACTGCTTACGTTTTTGTTCATGAGATCGCGCAAGCAGTCTTAAGAAAAATTGATGCATGAACATATGTTATATATAATACAACTATTTGAAGAATATCATTTCGCCTCAAATATTATGTATTTCCATTAATATTAGTCCCTATTTTATTCCAAGCATTTCTTAGGATTTAGCGAAAGGTAACAAAAACTTTCTATGAGCTGGCAACGCCGCAATCCAGGTGACGAGATGACAAGGTCAACTGTAAAGATTGATGTCTAACCCGGTGTACCAACTAGTAAATAAGTTGAATCGTATGTCATGGTATCAATTTTGCAATTTTCATATCCACTTTTTCCAAGTGCTGTGTAGCGATTTCGAAAAAACTTTCGATGTGGATAGACTTCTTGGGCCTAGTAGAGTATACTTCAACAGCTGTTTTGCGTGGCCACGTTTGCTCCACTCAGGCCGATTATTTTGTTAAGAATTAATGCAATATTCTATTTTTCAAGAATATGATTTTCTGGTTGCTAGCAGCATCTTACGGGAATGAATTTTTTTATGGACGAACTAGCAAGACTAAGGTACCCTCTCCAGGCAAAATAGAGAAGACTACATTACCGGCATCAAGTCACGTGATGAAATTTTGACATGACATTTCATGTTAGACAGTCTAACCTTAGGTGGCGCAAAATATGAATATATTTCCAAATCCGAATTTGAATTTTGGAGAATGTTTTTTTGTATCTTTAAATGAAGAGAAGTGAAGAAATTGGAGGAAAGTATGAGTAATCGGATCCATTTTGTACGCTTATATAGATTAGTATAATTTTCCTAGTTTCTACTGCTAGCATTTTATGAACAATGCAAAATTGCAACAATGGATGTTTTTGACAAGTGCTTGGCGTTTGTGTGTTTTGGCGATTCCGATTGGCGCTAGTGTTTTTTCTACCCAGGGTTTCATTCCCATTATTTTGGACCTGCTCAGAAATTTATTTGTGATAGTTTCTATTTTTTTGAGTGTAGAATTCCAAATTCTCAGTCTTAAATTTCCTTATCTGATTTAACGGCTCCTAGAAAAACACAGAAAAACGGAGTGCGATTTGAAAGAATGGTTCGCAAACGATGTAAGTTGGATACTCCACAGTGGAAATTTTAAAATTTGGCTACAGCCACATCTATTTCATAGGTAATAAGAAGAAAGGTCCTTGTTAATAATCAAGTAATGGATCTAGCCCTCAATCAAGAAAATGGTACACATCTACTTATAGATAGTGATACTAAGTGTATTGGTTCTGTTGTTGAAAATGAAAGTGATAACTCTGATGAATACTTAACATGTGAAGAACAAATAGGTAAGTTCTTCAAGACTCCATTGAATCTTTTAGCATGGAATGTACAGTGCCTGGAAGATGATATTCACCTTTATCGTGCTGGACATTATGATCTTATGGTACACTTATCAAGATCACCTATTCATGTACATGAGTATGGATGTCAAGACTTCAGAGTTTTATCAATATACTTGTAGATACAGCATCTAGAAACCTTGTACAAATATAAATTTTCTGTATCTAGACGCCTCTAATTATTTAGATTATTTCATCAAATATATAATTTTGACTATATCAGTACAACACAAGCATTAAATGAATCTATTTAAAGATAAATCATCAAGATGCTCCATCCAAATATGATCCTATTTCTAGATACCATTCATGTAAACTCTTTTATATAAAAAGATGTTTTCTACTGCTAGTCTAACTAGACTTGTAAAAGTAACGATAAAGGTTGGACACATTGTGCTCTTTGAATAGCACTTGTGCATTATTCCAACCCATGTACTGATTCTTACATGAGATGTGTAAGTTTTGTTAACTGCAATTATTAAATAATTTCTGCTCATTTATTATGATGGCATAATACTTCGAATATATGAATATCCAAACACACTTTTTTGCTATGAAATACAGCACTCAGAACAATCAGGGATGAAGTTCATTTTTTCATGAATTTGGATTTAAATACCACAGTTTATTTTCTCTTTTCAAACTACTACTACTATAATCTATAGTAGAGTTAACAATGCCACTGAAAGGAAAGTCCTAATATTAGTATGATCTGCAACAGTTTAAATGTCCTAAAACAAAACTTGTGTGTGCCTCAGATTGCATTCTTCCTCAAAAAATAGATGTAGCAACTATCCTACCTTCCCATCACTCAAAACTGTGAGGACAAATGGTCATCCTCACAATAAGCAGATCTTGAGTGAAGGAATGACTATGCATTTGGTCCCTAATGATTGTTACCTAAGTAGCTAGGTTTAGATACATTTGTATATATGTATTATTGTTAGTATATCATTATTAGACAGTGTTTGTCTGATATCAGCAGAGTTAAATCAAAAATATTCCACACTCAAGTCCTTTATTCTTGTAGATTCTGATAAGTACAAACATTTTGCTGTGTATTTATAATAGCACTCCTTTTTCATCTGTAAAATGATACATTTTCATGTAATTTTGTGAGCGTTACTGTAAAATATATCAGCTGTCATCAATCTAGTTTTTGGACTAGACACCTGCTGGTTCTAAGATACAAGCTGAGTTTAGTGATTGCTTCGATGATAGCGCTGTTTTGGTAAAAGACATCTAAAAAATGTATTTGCAAATATATGCTCCTTGGAAAATATGCAACTCTGTACAGAGTAGCAACACAAACATGCAATAGCCTTCATTGAAATTACTTCCTACCCCCTAAAAATCCTGTTTTCACAAGTTATGTGGTACTTATTTAAGTTGAATTTAATATCAGGGAAACTGCAAATAACTCAAATAATTTGCAATCCAACCCCCCCAAAAATTGTATACCAAAATAGAGCTTATAAAAGGGATAACCCAAAAATATGCAGGAAGTTCCATTTTAATTTTTTGAGAAAAAGCACATTTTAAGTTCATCAACTTTCTCTATAGATGATTTTATACTAACACACACACACTAAAACTTCACCCAATACTAGTCTAGACATTGGTTGTATAATCTAAGTATTTTTTTTTTCAGTGACAAAAGAAAAGCTTTCACCACAAAGTATTTTAGACAAAGCATTTTCTGTAGATGAAAATGAACTAGCCACACCTCTCCAACCTATCCAAGCTGATTTTCCATTAAGCAGCCACAATGAAACTACCAGTGATGATAGTATTTCAGACATTAGGTGAGTAGAGCAATTTTTTTTAGTTTAACCATCATAGTTTTGACCATTTTTGAGATATCACAGTTCTCACCTTGGACACACTGTACACTGAACTATTGTTTTTTTTATGAATTTCTTTTACAACCTGCAATGGCCAGTGAATTCTATGTAATTTGTAACATAGCTAACCTCTTAGATCAGGTCAAGCTTCAATAATGTCTATATACCTTCTGAAGTTGATAAAAATGGTCAGTTTTGGGTAAAAAAAGAAAAATTGAAGGCCTGGATAGAAAATTTAACTTGTATGGGGCGATAGGTTGGTTGCTCTCCTGGAAAATTGTCTTCCAGGGGCAGGAGTAGTGAGAAAATTAAAAAAAAATTGAGCCCATCTCCAGATTGTACTGTTTGATCTAGGACCCTAACATTTTACAGAGCCTGTATAACTATGGAACAAAACAAGAGCTTGGAATGCGCAATTATTTACCAACTTCTGTCATAATCGGCTTCAAAACAATTAAAGGATTTATGCAGTATATTCATCAAATCTAACATTGAAATTCTCTCATGTTTACCTCACAGTCTGATAAGTGAATGCAAAATTGCAAGACTAGTATAAAAAACGCTATTTACGGTCTAGCTTTAGATTTGTTATTGACATTATTGCTGCAATTTTTTTGATTTGCATTTATTGCCTTTAAGTTTGATTGTTTATGTGCGGATATATCAGTTTTTTTGAAGTGTCATCAAAAATTCCGAGTTGATTAGACGCGACATTATTTATGCACCACTAAGCGGTGCCGGTACGATCAATTTCTTGCAGTTAGGTATATTTGGTGATTCATAAATAGAACTAAGCTGAGTAATATTTTTCGCTTACATGAGATCGTATGTAACAGTATACAGGGTGTTTTTAAAGTTGAGTCATTTATTTTAACTGCTTGTAGGACTCATCAGGAGTTGATTTACCAACAATCACCTATACAAAAGTTGCATATTAAAAGAAATAGTAAAAGATTATAAATTTTAAAAAACAAGAATTTTATTACACCGATTTTTTGCTTACTACTGTTATCATTTATCTATATTTAGCCAACTTTTTGTGTTATTGTATGGTCTTCAGTACATTTGGTTCAATCACTTGTATTAGTATTTTAATAGTGCATATACTTTCATTTGTCTGATTATTTTGTGCGAAAAAATGGCCCATGTTTACGAAAACAATGAATTATTGGTTAATGCATGCAGGTTGTTGGCCCCAGGCTGCCCCACGGATGTTTGTAAATTTATTCAATAGACAATACAACAAGAATAGTATTATCATTATTAGCGGGTACAAGCGTTACAACCTGGAGATCATCCTAGAATAATTGCATTTTGCCAGTGGCTTTTAGAACAGTTCGGCAGAAATGAAGATTTTACGGAATTAATTTTGTGTACAGGCGAGGCCACATTTACTCGAAATGGAGTGCACAGTAGCAAATCCGCATGCTATAAAAATGTTTGGGCTGGCGTGGTAAAAATGGCATTCTTATTGGACCCTACTTTTTTCCACCTCGACTGACTGGTGAAATTTATTTAGGTTTGCTTCAACTCAGCCTTTCACAATTGTTAGAAGATTTTCCTCGAAATGTGAAACAGAATATGTGGTTCCTACATGATAGGGCTCCACCACATTTTGAACGAGAACATCTAAATAATGAGTTTCCGAATAGATGGATAGGGCGCAATGGACCCATTTCTTGACCTGCTCGCTTCCGGGATTTAACGCCTTGCGATTTTTATCTGTGAGGCTATTTGAAAGAGTTGGTGTATCATGATAGAGCAGTAAATACTCTGCAAGAAGTTCAATAGCGCTTGAAAATGCTTGTGATTTAATTGGTAGAGACCAGGATTTTATTTTCGAAGCTTGTAAAGAGTCGCCGAGCAAGATTTTGCGGTAAATCGAATAAATGGGGACAATTTTGAACAGTTTTTGTGAAAACGGTATCCATTCAACTTGATAATAATTTTCAATAATGTAAACCAACTCTATTATGCAACTTTTATATAGGTGGTTTTTGGTATATTAACTTCTTTTGACGAGTTCTATAAGCTGTTAAAATAAATGACCCAACTTTGAAAACAGCCTGTATAGTTAATTTCGTCATTGCAACTTTGCAAATACTTTTGGTTATTCATGAATAGAATAATATTTAAAATCGCATGAAGTAGTAACAGTTAATTTCACCGTTTTTACTTCCCACGCCAATTGGCGAGAAAGCGTTATAATCGCGAAAATTTGATACCGACATGGATAGATGTTATACTACGAATAACCATGCAACCTTCGTTTTACTTCCTACGCTATTGGCCATGAAGAATTGTAATCGCGAAAAAATTAGAAAGTCAGATATTATGTTGGCTGTTGTATGACATCTACATCACGAAAAACAATGGCACTCATTTCCGTCTGTCTGTCCGCTAATCCTGGGCCCGCTTATAGCTTGGGAAGTAGCACTCGGACATTGACGGAATTTCTCACAAGGCTACTTCTATGCTGCGGTCGGGGACAGTAATCTAAAAAATAAGAAGCAATCAAACTTCGTTTTTTGACGTTCCAGAGACTCCTGATCGTTAAAAAAAATGTTTGGGGTATTGGAAGTTCCATTAAACGATGGTGCGTGTGTCCGTGTATGCAACGCTGTGCTGGATTTGCGAGTACCGCAACAAGCAGAGTTGCTACGCTACTGGGTGGTCAATATTGTTGGTGGGGCGGTAGGCTAAACCACAATGTTGTCAAGTCTGTCGAGACTGTGGACGAATTGAATTTTTTTCTAAGATGGACTTTATCGAGCTTACATTTAATACTTCCAATCAATCTACTTGACACCATTTTTTATTTATAATCAGTGCAAAATCAGATGAAGATGATGGTTATGTGGAAGATAACATTGAAGAAGACAGTAATACAGAAGAAAATTTTGCTGCGGATAACTTAATGGTGATAGAAGAAATTTGCGAGAAAAAAGAGCAGTTGCTCGATGAAACAAATGTACATAGAAACGATGAAGATAACCCTGCAAGCGGTCTACCTATCATTCCACATGAACTCCAAGAGACTGAACTTTCAACGGGTACAAATGACCAAAATTTGCCAAGTATAACTCTCACATCAATCCTCAGAAGAAACTCATCTAAAGGTGACTCTTCTTCCATCGAGTGCGTACTAAACAATAATCGCAAAGTTTCATTTCCATCTGAAAAGGCAGACCTTGTCCACTACTGCGAGCCAGACTACGAGATACCATGGATGATCAGTAAGTGTTTGATATCTTAAAATATGAAGAACTGCATCGATTGATTACTCTGAAAGTTAGATAATTATGAAGTTGGAGTTTGGGAGAAATTCGGCTACCATATTTTCAAAGTAGTGGCACTTAAGGTCTAGCCGGAAATATATACCGGCTTGCGAAGCTTAAATGATATATCCTATAGTTCAGTTTTTGGATTCTACACAAGATTATGAACATCTTTAATGTATATCGCTCTATACTCGAGTCTTTTTGGGATATCTTGGGCTTTCGGTGCAACCAGAAACGCCACAAAATCCCAAATTTTGTAAATTTCATCACCCCTACCTTTCGAGTAGTCGATCGATACAGTTCTTCGCGGGACACCCTATATATATGTTGCTCATTATTGTCCCCTTATGAATTTTTCTGCGTAATGTACAATGAGCCATGTGGGGCCCCAGTCGCTTGCAATAAAACCAAATTTTGCTTTCGCTGCTACGAAAAGTTCACAGGAAACGATCACTCTTTGTACAAAGGGTACTATAAAAGTTTTGCAATACAGCTTTATATATTGACTTCATTCAAAGTAATTTCCACCACATTCAATACATTTCTCCATCCGCCAAAACCATCCTTAAACCAGCCCTGCTAAGATTCACCCGGGATTGCGGCACACTCGTGTCCCAAGCCCAAGGAAACCGTTTTACTTTTAGCTTCATTTTCACATGCGCAAAGAGTAAGATCTGGACTGTAAGGAGGGTGCTCAATAAGTTCCAGTCCAGTAGTAGTCAAATACTCGGTGCACGCTTTGGCGCGGTGACCTGGAGCGTTGTCGTGGTGGAGGTACCAAGTGTCCATTCTTGTCTTTGGCCGCAGGTTTTTCATAGACTCTATGGCTTTAGGCAGGCACTGTTCCATGTACCACTTAGCTGTGACTGTCATCTCGCTCGATTTGAAAAATACAGCTATCATTTTTTTCGTAACAGATCGGGATTTTCTGACAGCTACGGGTGTGTCCTCATCATCAAAGACCGAAACCTTGTTTTGAACCTTGGTCGGCACATCGTAATAATAGGTTGCCCCTTATCTAACATTTTCAGCATCAGTACCCAGAGAGAACAAAGTTTCCTTACGTGTAAATGGTCATGCAGAATTGAATGAATTGCTGGTGCATGAAGGCGTAAAGTCTCCTCTATCTGTTGGTATGTCACTCTCCGATCTTCGTCAAGCATTTTCCTCACAGCAGTAATGTTTTCCTCCGTTACCGACGTCCGCGGCCTTTCTTCCCTCTCAGCGTCCTCCAGAGTGAAATTGCCTATTTGGAATTCTCTGTACCACCTGAATATAGTCGTACGATGAGGACAATCATTCTTTAATGCAAGCGTCATTTCTTCTAAGCACTAGTCTGTGTACCCTTTGTATTTGTTCATTTGGAGAATTGAGCACTCGTGAATCAACTTTGTACACACATTTCTCATGAAGTCCAACAATTTTGTGAGTCGTGTTTGGATATGGAGATCTCGTCGACGATTATTCATAGACTCATACGACGGTACGAAGTCAGAAGCTGTTTTGTTTTGGCTTTCGTTTCAGCCACGCATTTTCTAAGCCATTGGACCACTTGATCATCTGGCCTCTTGAGAAGGCGTTTTTTTATAAGCCGTAATGACCGCACCCGATTTATCTAGAAAACAAGCTTCCATCTAGATGATAGACGCGCAACAGTTTTTAGATTTTTTATTAGTCGCTTTTTTTCAAAGATGAATTCTTGTCAGTATCTGGAAAACGGCTTCGGTTTCAGCTCACGTTCCCGACTGAGCCATTTTTTACCTTTTTCGCAACAATACATGGTAATTATACATTAAAATGCTTTAAGTGCGGATCAAATGACCTTTATTCTAAGTATTCTGTGTCGCTTAAACCGAATCCAAAGTCGTTTAACATGTATCTGATTCTGTTTAACATGTAAATCTAATTATTTAGCGAACATCGCAAACCTAGGTGCTAAAAATCCATTTTTGCTATCGATGGCTACATGTGAGCGAAGCTCTGTACACTAAGGTAATTTGGGGCACTGTGTATGAATATCATAGTGAGGAAATTCTAAAGTGTCATCGGACCGGATTTGGGGTGAAAAATTGGCAGAAAACTATTTAGCTACTTGTGAATCCTAGCATCGAATTCCAAATCTACGCACCCGGTTTACCTAGAAAACAAGCTTCCATCTAGATTATAGACGCGCAACAGTTTTTTTGACAAAGTTCAATTCTAGCCATTGATATGCCTTGGATTCGGTTTCATCGATCAAAAAAAAAACGTTTTATAAGGCATGTTGCACTCACTCTGTGTTGAATGTCAATGGAAGAGCACCGGATCTTGTGTTTTCTAACAAATGCCGAATGGCTGAAGAGGCATATGAGGATCTACTTTCAGGGGATGTCCAACACCCTATTGTATTACTGTAGAAAAGAGTGTTCTAAATCACGAACAAAACACTGTAAGACGGACAGAACGTTTTAATTCCCGACAAGCTAACTTTGTTCTTCTGTATTAGCAAATTGGTGTGGTAAATTGGTATTTTCTGGATGATATACACACTCTGATATTGCATGTAGTTGATTTTACAATACATTGAATAGCATTTTTGAAATGTATGTCCTAAAAACGAATTTAACTCACGGGAAATACCCATCTTTGTATCATAGTGAGATAACTAGGAACATAAAAAACAAGTAAAAGCTGGACAAGCTGCACAAAAGAGACGGAGAAGCTAAAACGTTTGAAGAATTTTATAATCTGAGATCAAAAATCAAAGGAGATATAGATTCTACATATAAAAAATACTCAGAAGGCATTCAAAATGATATTGCTAATTCCCTTAATACTTCCTGGTCACATTTGCTTTTGCCGACTTTTTCCAATTAGCATTTTTGAGGAATCTTCATTTGCCGCCGTGAAGTAACTTACCTCAATCCTATAATAATTTTGCAATAGGTAATTTCAATGAAAATAAGGTTTATGAGGCAGTCAAAAAAATGAAAAATAAATTGCCAAGTGTATGCTTTCTTGCTGAGAAACTGTGGTTCTGTCCTTGCATTTCGATTAACAAAAATGTACAATATTATTTTGGAAAGTGAACTATCCCGACGTTTCCACTGAAGCAAGAATACTCGTATGTCCAGTTTTAAAAAAGGTGACAACTGCTAAGAAAACCATACACCAATTACTTTGGTATGTAACATTTCCAATACATTGGAATACTGAATGTTCAGTTTTATATATGTTATTGTCAAGAAGAGTATATCAATTTTTCAGCACGGTTTTATGGAAGGGGGGTCCACAACGACTAACCTAATTTATTTTTCGCAATTTGTTTCTGTCATTAATAAAGCATTTGATAGGTTGGACCATATTCTCCTACTAGCAATACTCGATGGAATGTACTTTTCAAATGTTTCAGTATGCTTTTTAAAACTTTATCTGTATAACCGTAAGCTGTTGTGGAATTCAAAGGATCCTCAACAGTTTACATCACGAGTTCCTCAGGGATCCTCGTTAGAACCACCATTTCTTATTTTATCTATCAACGACAATGCTGACGTCATTGATTGCAACTTTCTGTTATATGCCGATGATCTGAAACCTGATACTCAAGTTAGTAGCAGCACTGATTGCGAACGTCTCCAAAATAATCTTACCTGGTAATAATTTGTTGTAATTATAATAACGTATCCATGAACGCATCCAAGTGTACCAGCATGAAATTTCATAGAAAAGAACGCTTGATCGAATATTATCATGAGGTTTATCAAACAACACTGCCGAAGGTAAGAGAATTGAAAGCTTTTGGAGTTATCTGGGTTTTGTCTTACGCAACTCTGGTGATTCTGATAGCATCTGCTCTCCCACCAATAATTAGCTGATCTGCTGGTGGTGTAAATAAATAAGCCTTATTGATCAAGACAACTTTCATGTAGCAGTTTTGTCCATTACAAGCAACTGGGATTCCGCACTGCAACCAGGCTCATCGCTTATCAAACACACCCTATAGTTAAGTTGAAATATAGTATTGTATGCGCATTGATCAGCCATTATGATTTTGCAAGAAAACTTCTAATTGGAGCTCATTATCAACCAAAAAATGTTTTGTTTAATTTTATAGCTGTAGGAAGGACATCTGAAGAAATATTGGAAGTGTATCAGCAATCTTGTAAAAAGCACAAAACTGTTGAACTTGATATCATCAAGAACCAGATAAATGTAAGTTTTCGCTATCTAGGTAGTATAAGTCCTTAATCTCGTCATTTTACATATTTTTTTGCAGGATATAACAAACAACATGGACCATTCAACAGATTTAAAGTTAATAGATATAAATATAACATCAGAAGTTAATGAGACCATTGAAGATCTATTCAAAGTTGCAAATTTTCATACACTCATTCTGAAAAATTGTAAACTCACCCCAGAAACATTGAACGAATTCCTAAACATGCTAGAATTCTACGAGTCAGTTAGTCACCTTGAGATTGAAATGCAGTTTGAAGACGATGATGCTTGGAGATGCTTCTGCCACGCTTGTAGCAACATAATGGTGCTTGAATCCCTTTCGTTTAAGAAAATGGATGTCAGTGAACATTACATGCGATTGCTATTGAATGCTGTTAGAAGTAACCCTAATATCACAATGCTTAAGTTTGAGGGTTGCAAATTGGATAAGTTGCCATCCTTCTATCTAGGTAAGCTACGGTTGACGTTACATACAGGGTAATCCAAAAAATCAAAAGCACCGAAAAATAGCCCGAAAAGATCCTATGAGCACAGGTCTCGACATTCTCGGAACCAAGGAGCGGTCGTACCGAGCAGTTCTAGATGTACAGAGTTAGACAGGAGAGTTTGCCTGGCAGGCACAACGCGCGGCGGCATCATGCAGAATTGCTCTGAGAAGCAAATTCCGTTAGCATTGCGACCAGATCGTCGATCTAGAGTCGGGGTGAAAGGGGCCAGAGTTCATCCTTTAGAAAAGTGCCATTGACCACGTCGAAAATGTGAGGAGTTTGAGGGTAATTCTTATTTGGGCCTTGTACAGAGAGTGTGGTGGTTATTGGGAGAAAAGTACTTTTGAGCCTATAACAACTTTTGCATATGCTCTTGTGTGCTGAAGTTGATAACATAATCAGCGAAAGAGGTGTCGACTAGCCCACCTTCCTCAGTGATCTGCTGTCCTTTTGACTCCAATTCCTTTCTTGTTGGACACTTTATGGAGAATTTACGGTCAAAAACATGTTTATCGGAGCTTTTCATATTTTTTGGTCATGCTTTCAGTTGTGTCACTGTATTTGGACTCGCCCTGTATCTGACTAGGTTTTATGCGCATTGTGACAAATAAAATGTTTCAGTGGAAAGCCTGATGACGAATAAAACCCTAAGAGAGTTGTACCTGCCATCTGCAGGCTTATATACCAAAGAAGCAGAAGTATTAGCACGATTTCTAATGAACAATACCCATTTAAAAGTTCTGGATATCGGTAATAATTTCATAGGAGACCGAGGTCTTGAGTCACTCGCTAAAGGCCTGTGCAAACAGAACACCATTGGCGAAGGTCTTTCGGCCCTTAGCATTTTCAATAATCAACTCACTGAGAGATGTGGACCAATCTTAAGTACTATAATAGTAAGTGTTTTCTTATACTTGAGCCAAAGAGGAGGTTTACCTGGAGAAGGCAGACAATGCGAATGATAGATTGGACATACCAATTGAAAGGGTTGCAGGGTTGCCAGATAGATAATTCCAGTAATATAGCTTTCGTTAGTCCGACCACAGACGGTCAATCATGGGCAGCTGTTTCGTGCCATTTGGTAACTCATCAGCATGGCCTAGGTTTGCTCTCAGGTGGTCAACCAATGAAAGCTGGTCAAAAATAAGCCAACACATATTGCCAGAATCGAATGTCTTCACTCTCGCAGTGGTCGATTCTGGTAATAGATGTGGGCCCTATAATAAATAATATTCTTTTAGAGGTTATGCAACAAAAGTAAAACTTTGTTACTTCCATCAGCTCATTATAAATATAATATTAATATATATACAGGGTGACTTTGAAGTTGAGTCATTAATTTTCAGATAATGATTGTAGAAGGAAGATAAACCAAAATATGTGTGTAAAAATAAAAAAAAATTCAAAAAAAAATGTTACCTTGTTTTATAAAGTATCCTCCCGACAAGTATTTCAGTGCTGACCTGTATTTGATCGTGCGGTCTTGGAGCACCGGCATGCCCTCCCCTGTGAGGTCTTAAGTCACCTGATTCACGAGCCCTTTGTACTACATGAACAAAGGCACGAGGGGTTGGTTGCACTCGATTGGGAAACCGATCCGCATAAATCCGTGATGCCGCGTAAATAAGAATCATGTCCACAAGTTCAGCATTTTCGTAAACATGTGCCATTTTTGATTTCGTTTGAGCCACGCAACAGACACCACTATTCACTCACGCGTTACCGACTGACACTGACTGTATACAACTGAATAAAATAATTGTAAAAACATCGTTCCAAATTCTTTCGCTTTTTTGTTTCCGATGCGATGAACCGATAAGGCGGATTATATCCGTTGTTGCCAAACACGAGCACATAATATTATTATTGAGACAGGGCGGTACTCAAACTTCCAAAGGGCTATAACTTTGTTATTTTAATTTTACCAGAAAAATGGTAAAGGAAAAAACATTTCTTTTGATCAGATCTACTCACTGTTAAAATAAATGACTCAACTTCGAAGTCACCCTGTATATATATATAATATTTTTTTCTGAATATTTTCTGGCTACTTAGCAACACTGCATGGGTGCTCCTCGGCCTTATGCCCTCGGTCTGGCCGTTCGATAATGGATGACTTTGTTTTTATTGTAATTTAAAAGGACAATATCAATCAATGCGACCGGCAAACTTGTGCCTCTCTTACTATATCCCCTCTTTGCTTGAGCCGTATTCAAACCTTGTTTACGCCGCGACAAACAAACATGAACTCTCGAACGTCACTGCATGTCTAGGCGTTTGTGTTCCGCTGGCCAATAAGAACACGAGGATTTGAAGATCGCGGGCTGTTGTTTTGACGCTGCATAAGTGAGATTTGAATAGGCTGTAGATTGCTTCTATCAGGTAATTCTGTTAAATTGATATTTTTCATTTTAGGTTGAATGTAAAAATCTACATACACTTAACATTGGCTATAATAACCTTACGGATGTAGTACTTAATCACATCAGTATGAGCTTGCCATCTACTGACTCCCTTGAGGGTCTGGGCCTACAATGCACACTTCTTACTTGTAAGGGAATAGAGTCCTTGTCTGAAGCTATTCCGCGTAATCAGTCTTTACAGGTATGAGCGCAGTTTATTGATTTTTTTCTCCGAATTATAATTGGAGGCAGTCCTGTTTTAAATTTGACGCCATTTTTTAATGACTTCGATATTTTATATTGAAAACTTCAGAATTGTACAAACGTACTATCGTCACGTACCGGAAAGGAAAAGAGTAGCAATTTGAATTGCCAAAGCCGAGTTTAGGAAAGTTCACTATAATTTTTTTTTCATGAAATTTAATATTGTGGAACGGTAAATGTTCACTGCGAACGTTATGACAAACAGGATTTTTCATGGCCCCAAGTCGATAATACGCACTTTAACAAAATAGAACTACTTGTCACACGTTGCGGAAAACTTTGAAATTGCTACAGACACGTGTTCCTGATGGTCGTGCGATTTTTCGCAATGGTGATGTTTGTTGGCTTGCAAGATCATGCAACCTAACCCTGCCTGTCTCTTTTTTGTGGGGATTCACCGAGGATAAAATCTATTCAAACAATACATAGAATGGTCTTCTGTAGAAACACCATTCGGATAACATTATTTATAAATCATAACTCTCATGCAAGGGCGGTCCGATAAGTACTTAGCCTCTCACCGCCCGATGGTGCCATTATCGCAAGAAAAATTCACTATCGTATAGTATATTCTGGTAGACGGCTACTGTTAAAATTCTAGTCGAATCGGGCTCGTAGTTTTGTTTTAACCGCGTGTGGAAGCGGGCGTGTCCGCGGGTTTTAGAAAAATGGAAAAAGAGCAATATCGTTCGGTGATTCGATTCTTGTTTTCGGAAGGGAAATCGCTCAGCGAAATCAAAGAGCGCTTGGATGCTGTGTGCGGTGACTCTTCTCCTTCGATGGCGACCGTCAAGAATTGGTTTATCGAATTTTAACGTGGTCTCGCGCCGGTTTTTGATGAGCCACGCCCAGGTGCCCCGAAAACAGCTACCGCGGAGGATAACGTGACAAAAATTCACGATATTGGCAGACTGCGTGGGTCATAACAAGCGCAACCCTGAGACTACTTAAGAGTAGTGCTTGACGCTGTTTAAGCGTAATCCGAGGGAGTTTCTGAAACAGTGGACTTCACCCGGCGAATGTGCTCCGAAGAAGGCGAACCCAACAATTATCACTCCTATTAGAGTTGCAAGAATGATTATACAGTATTCCTTACACAGCATTGTATACTGTAAGAGCATTGGCAAAACCCTCTTAGAACAGCTATACAAGCGGAATGGGCACACCTAATAGGACACTTCAGTCATTTAAGAGGTTGTATAAGGGCTGCAGGTAACAGTTATACAACAAAAGTGTAAGCCTCTTGCAGCCGCAGGACATTTGCGTCAGTGCAAGATTCAGTTTTTGTCAACTATACAACTATTCTGTTTCGTGATTCTACTTTATTGCAACCAAACTATTTCCTATGTATTGTATAGACGAAGTGAAGAATATATAACTAACACATTACAGTCATCTTGTTTACTTACATATCGGCCATTGTGAATTTCATACACAGGTATATGATAAACTTCTACTCTGTGATATAGGGCTATTGAATTACTTGCGCAGCAAATTTTATTGTGATTATCGTACAAAGTAGTTACGCAATTTATACGGGCTTCGTATTTGATTCATATTTTCAAAGTATGTCTAGATTTTTAAGACGGAAAACTGAACTTATCTGCGTTAAATCTTCCACAAATCCTATATTTAGACACCATTACACTAATGTATATCACTTTATACCTGTAATTTCGAACTGAAACATAATTATTTAATATTAAATAGACGAATAAATGTTTGCCCAATAGGCGGGTGGTTATGTATAATCATGGCATCGTCCATGTTGTCTTTGGTTTATCAGAATAGTTTGGTGTTGCCTGCAGGCGTGATACAACAATTTGACAAATGTCTGAAATGAAATACCGACAGAGTCGAACGATTTACCCAGAATTTGTGCCAGATCTATATCTTCTGTTTGAACAGTTGATAAAACCTTTTGAACCAATATGCATGCGTTGTTTGTCTTAAAAAACTGGTTATGGCATTTTCGAGCTAGAAGGAGACTGTGTTGAGAAATACAAGGTCTGTCGCAAAGTAAACAGGACAAAGAAGAAAATTAACAAATGTTTACAAAAATAAACAATCTTTTTTGTTTCGGAAAATCGAATTTGTTTTATTCCATAATAGTCTCCTTCAGAATTGATATAGCGATTTGCACGGACCAACAGATTTTCAAATGATGATTCTTAGCTCATTGACCGGGATGTCGACGCCTTTTGGATGGCCTCTACGTCAGCATCCCGCTGTGCCTTTATTGCCAAATGTAGTTTACTGAACAGAAAATAGTCACACTGTGCCATATCAGGAGAAGATGGACTCGGCTAGGAGATGAACAATCAGCACCATATACTTGCATCGACATATGATGCGTTCCGGTAAATGTTTTACCAACTTTAACACAGGACTTAATATTGGCTCTTTGTTCTATGCTCATTTTTCCACCGCTGCTGAAAACATGTACTGTCACAAGTGGTTCGATTATCCTGAAATTTTGACAGCTCATCAATGGAAGATGTACCTATCCAACGCTATAATAGATGGCGCTATTGTATCGGATATCTTTCAAAAGTCTTGTTTACTTTGCGACAGACTTTGTAAATCGCCACTTTTTCAAAAGTACTTATCGGACCTACCTCGTTCAACCAACATTGTTAATTTCATTAAAAAACAAAATCCGTAGTACCTATTCTTTGAAAAGGTTGATGGTCAAAAGATCGTACCCAAGCTTTCCAAATGATACCAATAGAATTTTTCTCAATGAAGAATATTTTTATTCTATTTATGTCTCGATTTTTTTTTCAGAAAATCAATTTGAAAGGCAATAAGGCGATCCAGTTATATGGAGTCGAGCTCTTGTGCCAGGCGTTAACTAATTCTAAAATTAATAAAGTTGAAATTGATGAAACAAACCGTTCATGTAGTGTAAGTATGCACTATCTGCCAAATTATGTGATTTAGTCTTGTGCTTACATCTTCAACATTAACTTTAGCTCGTACAATATTGGATGCAGGATTATAAAAAAATGTTTTTCAAGTATGAATTTGTGTAGTCAGAAGTTATAGTCCGTTAAATAAAAAAGTAATAAATTAAGATAAACAGTTTTATTGTAAAGAAACATATTGATGCAGATAATGTAACAAAGTTAAAGGATAATTAGGTAGGTACTAGTTCATCTGGTACCAGATGCCAGTTTTCACAGAGTCTAGCGCATATATCATTTTAAAATAAAGGTGGGGCGCGTCGAAATTCTATCATCTACAGTGAACATGACTTTTATCATAGGAGATTACAAATGACAATTTACATATATACTCAGGTTACGCCCCTCAATTTTATTTTAGTCTGATCAACGTATAAGGGAGGAGAGGGCAAATTTTTGTAGATTCGATGAATACAAGCAAGCTTAATAAAACCGTTTAAAAAATAGCAACTGGTAATTCTCAACGGACTTTGACGATGTGTTTCAATAGCAGTGTTTCTCTTGTTTAGTACATTTTTCCAAAAATGAACACACAAAAATCACCCAATGCCATTTGTATAGAATTTATCGGAAATACATAGTCGATCTACTTGACTCAATTTTACATTTCCTTCCCACAGGACCCTGATGCCTACGCCCAACTAGTAAAGAAACTATTTGCCATATGCACTGTGAACAAATCGTTCACAGATACAACAGATAACGAAGAAATAACGAATATCTCCCAGCTGATATCCCGTAAAATGTCCCTGAGCTGTGAACCAAAGTACACAATACCAGAGTCGTCGACCCCTTTGCAAATTGGCTCTCCTCAATCTCCCCCCGTGTTGACACCTTTCCCCTCTCCTATTTCCAGTCCTGCGCCCAAAAGCCGATTCCAAATCGTTAAAGTTACAGAATCTGGTAGCAGTTGCAGCAGTACCAATGTCAGTCCTAGTCCCAGCCCAAAACCAAAATCAAGGTAAGACAATAAATACAAATATAGCTAGCTTTCTGCCCGCGGAACATGTAGATGGCGCCACTAATACAGTAACCAAATTTCAAAGCATGCATGCGAGAATCTTTTTCAATTAGCCGCTGAACTTTAGCAATGTTTTCTGCAGTCACACGAGAACATGGCCTACCACTACGTTCTTCATCAGCCAGATGCCTGTTGTAACCGTTTGATACATTAATGTTCAGTTAAATCGACTTTAAAGTCATAGTAAATCATAGCGCGATAGCTCTCTCGAGTCAACTCCATGTTTTTCCTTAAATTTGTTTCCACTACGTACACTGTAAGGCACTTGCAAGTGCACTGAATGCGGCAACTTACTGATAAAGGACTGCTCTTTCTAAAAGTGCACTGTTGCCGGTTTTAACTAGTATAGCTAATGCGCATCTCAAAATATACAGCGTGCCTCTCGTATACCGGACCACACAGCATTAGAGTTTCCTAGATAACAGATAAGTATACCTTACCCGCATAGTAGCATTAAAGATTGTATGACCAATAACTCAATAACTATACATTGACAGTGCTTAAGCATTACACTTGAAGTGAAACAAAATACCAAACAGTCTAAATCAAGACGATCACGCTAAGAAAACGTATGTCGAAATGCAGTAAATGCACGATGCAAATGCCCTATTTGTACAGGTTGTTAGGGAAATAATATTCGTAACTTTAAGAGGTGATTTCTTGCATTATTCTAAGCAAAAAAGTCCATTATAACTTATGCTCGGATCTCGTAGGCGGAGCCAGAATGTGTGCACGTTGCATGCACACGTGTTCCCTCGCCAGAGTCCGTGTGACGTTCCCCCTTTCCCCTGTATCCCCTATAGCCCCACGGTACCCAATGGGTGTTTAGGCCTTAGGCCTTCGTGGTAGTTGGAGTATGAAAAAATGCTGCAACGCACCCGCGATACGAGCGCACGACGACCGCAACTGATTCATCGAATTGTTTACGTTTGTATGATATTTTTGTGGAAAATATGCCTTGAATTATTGAATACTTTTTTGTGGCTATATATTTTTTATTTAATAACGCTTTCAGTACAGTACATTTACTAAAAAAAAATGTACAGAACTTACCGGTACGTGGCGATACACACCGCCAATTCCCACGATTATCAATCACTTATTCGAAACTATGCGATGCACGAAAAAAGAAAAAAAAACAACATCCGTAAATCACATAAAGTTACAGTTAAATGTACTAGTAATCACAACACGCGATGATACATGCAGTGCAGGCGGAGTACGACGTTGCCAGTTGTGTGAGGGATTTAGTTTGTCTATTTTTATTCGGAAAATTGTATTTAATAAGCAAGAAAATTATTTTTTTAGAGACAGTTAATTAATAAATAGATGTATTGATACATTTTACGCTATTAGGCATATGAATTTAAATCACTAAGATGCAAAATTAATTTATTTCATGACTAAAAAGAAATAAGTTCAGCATTTTTTTGCCCCGAAACGGTTGATTTTCGGACATAGGTTATAATGAACTTTTTTACTTAGAATAATGCAAGGAACCACCTCTTAAAGTTACGAATATTATTTCCCTAACACCCTATATACCCTTACTCATTTCGATTGGACTAGCGACTGAGCGCTTTCCCGCTAGACACCTTATGTCAAATTCCACTAAGCCGTTTGGGCTATAGCCAGTGTGATAGATATTTTAAAGTTATTTCCCGGGATAAAAGGTAGCGTAAGAGCTATTTCAGACTATAATCTATCTCTGTACGAAAGGACCCGGCAACACGCCTATGGGAAAAGTGATTTTTTTATGTGTTATGCGTCTTTACGTCCTCAACAAATGTTTCAAGGGGCACAGACGTCCAACTTCAACGGGTTCCAAGATGTAGGCCCCCTTTTTACATATGTAGTTTCGCCTATAGCCTTTGCATCGAGTTACCGCCGGCAACCATGATTCTTGTAGACGTTGTTATGGAAATAATCGAGGCTCACATGAATGTGGGATTCTGTCTCATTCTTTGCAAGAACTTCTGTAAGATGATCATTTTGTATTTGATTGCAGATTTAAGGTAACGAAAGTACCTCCTTCTCCAGATGAAGAGTATACCTTAGGTAGATTTGCGAATGTGCGTAGCAGCGTGTCGTCTAATGACAGCATGGATTCGTTGACAACATTACACTTGGATAGCGATGACAGCTCGTAAATGTGAAATAAGTGAGAATTCCAGTTTCTTAAAATTTCGTTATTGGTATTAGTTCTGTGATAGAATGTGTTATGTTTAAAGCTTTTTAAATTTTATTTCCATTGTAATGTGATGTTAAGGATTCTTACGGAAGATCATATAATAAAAATTGTTGAAGTAGGCGTTAGGTAGTCTAAAAAAATAACAGTCGAATTATACAAAGACTCCAGGACAGGATGTTAATGAGAAAAAGTTTGGTATATAAGATTTTCGTTTCTTCGCATTTACAGCAATACTAAATTTTGTATAAGTTTGTCATAAAAGAAAACTTCTTCTTAGAACTGAGAGCATCATTTTTCAATGAAAGTAACAAATCTGATTTGATATCTGGCAGCATTCATGTTTAGAGCGAAAAACTAATGGTAGATAGAACCGTTCGAAAAATGAGTTTAGTTGGGACATTTTTGAACAATGCTATATAACAGTAGTTTTCCGGACACATATGACGTGTGGTTGTCGAAAGCAGTTAGAATTTTTGGCGAGAATTTCTAATTCAAAAAAGTGACAAAATTGATTTCATGTATGTTTTCAACCTTGGGCCTCATGCAGACTTATCTTGAACGTAACATGCGACGAATATAGGACAAACAATAGATTTGTATTATCTGTCGCACAAGTGCCAATACCGTATTGTTTCTGTCATAAGATACGTTTTTGTCGTAGCTTTTAAGATAAGTTTGGTTGAACCTTCGGTAAATCTAAAAAAATACAACAGATGAAAAATGTATCCTTTGTGCTCTGATGACCATCATTGTGGAACATTGTGTTCTTAAGAATTTTGACGGACTTATACATCGATCGAAAATATGACAGTGCTGGTATGAATTATCAGAGTTGTAGGTTTAAATCTCTTCGCAACTGGAATTACTAGAATATCTTTTCAAACGTCGAATACATTTTGATTGAAATGATTAACTTTGGCCAAAAGGTATCACGCCTTTAATACATACTTAGCAAATTTCCCCGAAATGATTGTAAAGCTTGCTTTTATTGGTGCAAGTTGTTCAATGGGGTATTTAAAACATGGACGCATAAAATGGGTACACCAATTTTTGTGGGAAAACTTTTTATTTGACAACAAAGAATGAGAAAACGTGTTTTTTAAATTTAGGAACGAAAAAACTTCTCATATAAGATTTTTAGGCATTTATGAGACCTACAAAATGAGACCACACGTAAAAAGATCCGACTAATACCAAAAATGTTATAGTCGAAAAACAAGTCAAAATGCAGGTTTTGCCACTTTTTGGTAATGCGACGATAATTTCACGCAACTACTTGAAATTCTTCAAATCCGTAGGATTCATACTTCTAAATAATAGTAACAAAATTGGAGTATATTGGTCAAGTAGTTTTTTGAGAATTTCTAATTGCTTATTCCAAAACACCTGTTTTCCGGCCATCACTTCTAGTTTATTGAGCAATATACAGGGTTCTTTCAAACAGCACTTAATAGCAAAATACACGTGTTTATGCAATTCGTATCGGCAAGGTAAACTTGTGTATCTGGCTATAAAATGCCCTTTAAACTAACCCTGTATATACTCGATAAACTAGTAGTGATGGCCGAAAACAGGTGTTTTGGAATAAATAATTAGAGATTCTCAAAAACTACTTGGCCAATCCACTCCAATTTTGGTGGTTATTTAGAAGTACGAATCCTGGGAATTTGAAGAATTTCAAGTATCTGCGAGAAACCATCGACGCATTACCAACAAGTGCCAAAACCTGCAGTTTGCCTCGATTTTCGGCCATAACGTTTTTGCTATTAGTCGGATCTTCTTACGTGTAGTCTCATTTTGTAGGTGTCATAAATACCTAAAAATCTTATATGAAAAGTTATTTCGTTCCTGTCAACACTTTCGAATGACTCCCAAAAAACTCGTTTTCTCGTTCTTTGTTGCCGAATAAAAAGTTTTCGCACAAAAATTGGAGTACCCATTTTAGACGTCCATGTTTTAAATAACCCCCTTGAACAACTTGCAGCAATAAAACCAGACTTTACAATTATTTCACAAACCAGTGGTATTTTTCGTCTAATATGATTAGACTATAGAGACCGATTGTCATCCTGATTATTTTCTATCAGTGATTAAGTCTTTAAGGGTTTGAAGTTGAATGGGTCCATTATCTGACTCTGGGACCTCTTCAATGGCTAACATCTGTTTGGTCTAGATTCCGCATCACGTATCTATCCATGCATATAGAACATTGTACCCTGATTAATGTATACTATCTAAATATAGCAATCCGTATATACAGGGTGTCCCCAAAGTTGGGGTTTTCCTTTTCATAAACAACTACCCTTGAAATAACAAAGGTAATGTGTAGTGAAACGAGGGCGACCAAGTACAAAAAAATAAAGGAAAAAGTACTCACTCTCCAGTTGACGAGAAGGGCTAAGTACGTCTCTGCCCGAAATCATACGGCTCCAACGGAAAATGAAATCAGCTGATGCGCTATCGGGCAGACGAAGGCAAACAAGGAAGGCAAAATGTTGCGTAAAAAGTGTAGGTATTGCATCCCGTCCAATCGATTTGGGAGAATAAATGGTCCAATGAGCATACCGTTCACCATGCCAGCCCAAAGATTCACCGAAAATGTTTGTTGAAAATGTGCCCGACGGACAGCGTGCGGATTTTCTACTGACCAAGCATGAGTGTTGCGAAAGTTATTCACCCCATTACGCGTGAACGTAGATTCGTCTGTCACCAATATGCACTTCAAAAAGTCCGGATTTATTGTCATGTTGATGCAACAACCACTCACAAAAACCGCACTCTTGCTGGAAAATCGTCAGGTTGAAGGGCTTGTACACGTTGGACGTGAAACGGATACAGCCCCTCTTCACGCAGCGTTTGCCACACTTCAGTTTTTGATACTTGCACTTCTCTAGCCACGTCTCTAGTGCTTGTTGTTTTTTGAAACGCAATCGATTATACGGGTTCGTTTACCTCTACACGCGTGACCGTAACCGTCGGTTGAAGGTTGCATACTGACCTGACACACTGACACCGACCCAGTTCTGTCGTCGGGTTCAGCTAGTGTCCTAGTACCAATTGGGGATGTCGCGAGTCGCGGCTACAGGACGGTGTTCAGATATTTTTGATGTTGCAGAGCCCTTTATCTCGGTTCCCTTAAGACATTGGTGTATATAGTACTAAGAAAAATTGCTTATGTTTTCAAGATCTACACGTCGTGTAAAGGAAAACCCCAACTTTGCGGACACCCTGTATAGCATATAGTTGGACATAGCGCCATCTATGAGATTTCTAATTATTGCGAAAATGATACACACAGCTGTGACAAATTCTCATAGATGACGCCAGGATGTCACATTTCACCTCATATACAGGTTGTCCCGTGGGAAAGTTCACTTTTTGATTCAAGAAAAAAATACAAACTTAATGAAAAGAAAATATTTATTCGTAAATTCGGCGGGTTTTATTTCTTAAATATCATTCCTTCCAAATTTTTGCCATCCTTTCGGACACACTCTTCCAATCGCGCGGGCAAATTCTGAAACACCCTCTTGCTGAGTTCCGGAGTGATGTTGTTTATTTCTCGTCGAATCTTGACTTTAAGCTCCTCCAGTGTTTGTGAATTATTGGATTACACTTTTAGGCAGTGGTCCCATCCTGATGAAACAATGCGTTTATGTTGACACCTTTGGACTATGTAGCTATTGGTGATGTTTCTCATTTGGGTTCGTGAAGTGAAAATGAGCTTCGTCACTGCAAACAGCGTTCTCGACTGTGCGCTGCGTAGGAAAAAGATTCAACATCCGTTCAGCACAAGATTTCCGTAATAAGTAATCAGGGCAGCTGCGTATGAAACACCACTCTCAAAGTAAGCCTCGACAGCAAAAGCACGTCGCGCTCCGGTCCAATGTTCCATTGTGACTATTTAACCCGCACGCCGAACGCGTCGATCAAGACCTCTCCCCACTTCCTCGCTTATACGGTTGCCGCGTAACTCAAATTTGAAATGGGAACTTTCCCACTGGACACCCTACAATTCCTCAGATGCCGAAATACAGTACATCTATCTTTTCTATCTCCAGAAAAAATGGGCTAACCAGTAGTTTTACATCAAAGTTCAATAATGGAAAAGACAAACCATGGTTCCCTTCTACAGACTGTTGCAAATTCGTTAAATTTCAATTCAAATGTAGACCTTTCGCATAATCATGACTGATTCCTCAACAAAAAAAAAATACCAGTTGAAAATGAGTAAGTTTTGGAGCATTGGTTAGTCACGTTACCATGGGGACGACTTTGAGATCAAGTGTACTTACAGAGCATACTTAGAAGAAAGCGCTCCAACTTGATTGTGTAACTCAGCTTACATTTACTACAGGTTTTTTTCGATTAAGATGAGGTAAAATTGTACCAAAATCCGATAGTTTAATGGGTTCTCCTACTGTAGAACTAAGGATTTCTTGGTATAGAAAATGTGAGATCGAAACTGGGCCAACGTGGTTTTAAACATTGAAAGGTCGACTAACCTGATGCTGAATTTATAAGAATTTTAAACAGGGATAGAAAATAGACACGATGGCAGGTAACTTTAACCAGTTTCTAAAATCCCATTTAGAGACATTGGGAAATCTGATACATACTTACTTTTGAGTACAGAGATGATGTGAACTTTTTCCTGGCCTTAAATTTGTTATTCCTAATGCCTGGTTTCAATACATTTGTCTGCTGTAGCAGCTTTTTATTTCATTATAGTAAATATAATCTCGTAGATTTGATCAAGAAAACGTAGTTGACTGGTACCTAGTAGAATATGTAAGTCCATTTTCGTGTACAAACTATTTTTAAATTCTGAAAAAAGGTATATCTTGCATGTTTTGGGTCATAAAACTTTTATCGTTGTATTAAAGAGAATCTTAACATTGTTGAAAAGTTAACAAAGTTCAAAAAGAAATACCTACATGCTAAAAAATAACGAGAGTATATAGGATGTGTTTCAGATAGTGTATATATCTAGATATGGTAATGTACAGTTTTTCTATTTTGCCTCAGGGATAGTGGTCATATAAAAGGTAAGAATATTTTCTATCGAGGAAATGCGTTACCTAAAATAGGCCTTAAACATTTTACTTTCTCTCCTAAGCTTCATATACCGATAATTTAAGAATCAAATAGTTTTTTCTCACCTAAGGCCGTATCCGCCACGATTGAAACTCAAAATACGAGCAATTTCTAATACTGATGGCGCCTAGCCGCCATCTTAAAATTTTACACTTTTACGTTGAGATATAGTATTTTATTTCTTAATTCATTAAATTCCTATAGTTACTGAATAACTTAATTTTCCTCTAAACTTCTAGAGCCCGAACACTCATGAGTTCTTGGTTAATTCAGAATGTAAGATCTCGGCGTCTTGTCAGCTACAGACATGTATATAGAATATTTGGTCGGCAAATTCTTCCCACTTTTTTGGGCTACAACTCTAAATTTACCGAGTATTAACGTGGGTTCGAGGACTCGGATTAGATTTAATGCAACATAATAATTCTTCTTTATCTGCTTCGGTCCCAACGGTGACCTTATTCAAGTACTATTGACACATTTTTTGTGCAGTATATTTTATTTATGTGTTCCAGGTGATACTACTTTTGTTTTTTCTTTTCATTTTCACTTTCCGATACCGTGTATTACTATAATAGTCTCAAAGACCTCGTAACATGCTGAGATTACCCCAAGCTATTATTCCAATTACAAGATGGCACCGCGTAAAACCAGCAAAGCTTGGGGTAGGCATTACCCTTACCAAAAGGAGGTTCAGCTCTCCAAAGTGACAAGCGAACATAAGGTTTTATGTCGTTTAATGTACCATATTTATTCTTAATGTGACAATGAGCTCATCAGTTTCAATGAGCTTGGCAAATACGGCTTTAGAGTTAGGGTTCTATACTACTTGTAGGAGGTTCAAGCATGTATCTGTCAAGAAATAGTGCTTGTATTTTATTTTGACGCATGACTGAGCTTTTTGCCGATAGACAGAAGGCGCACATCTATAAGAATCCAGAAATAGAATAAAATTTGAGTGAGATTTCACTAAAGAGGGTGTACACCAAGAGAGGACACTTCGCGGTATATCTATGAAGTTTTCCGGTCGGTTTCATTGACCTTGCTCCATTAAATGGGCTTGGCACTGCATTACTGGTTGCCTGTTTTATCTCATTTTGAAAGAAAAACATGGCCATCTATGAGTAACTCGCCAAATCGCGGACGGAAGGCCGAGTATACTCTATTT